TTCACAACTGCCGGCTGCTTCTGCCGGAGCCTGAGTCTATTGCTGGTTGCAAGCTTATTTCAGCAGATAGACAGTGTTAGTGGTGGACTTTGTAGATTTCAGCACTTGTCTTATTTTTGTAGGGCTTTTTTTTGATCAAATGATAAGAGTATGCGCTCAAATTCACTCATTTACTCCCACAGCTTAGGATAGTGGGATAAAATATGAGGCATGTAGCCACACCCACTTCGGGTTTGAGACTGTTTTCTGACTAACAACAAGTGTTTCTCTATGCTTCTTTTCATTAACCGTTGACGTGAGCCCTGTTTCCTGGCAACCAACTGACTGCTTCCTGGAGCTGATGTTTGGAAATAGAATACAATTCAGAACCTTCAGAGTCTTGTCTACCCTCTCACGGAGAAGAGTCGTGTGTGAAAGGTTCTGTCATTGAGCATTATGTCGCTGAGATTCAAATGACACTTTCCTTTGATTGTGAGTGAACGTCTTGCACCCACTCACCTGTTGGTGCACATCTGAGTGACTTCTGGTTTGGGCTATTTTAATCAAGCCGTCCTGCACGCCTTCAAACAAGACTTTGAGTTGGGCACAGTGGCACAGGACTTTAATCCAAGCGCTCACTCAGGAGGCAAAGGCAAGTGAATCTGTGAGTCGGAGCTAGCCTGGTCTACAATGTGAGCTCTCAGACAGCCAGAACTATGTAGAGAGCTCTTGTGTCAAAACAAAACAAAATACAAGCAAACAAACAGAACTCATGGCTTGGTGTGAAGACATTCACTTGTTTCTTCAGGCTAAAGTCCTGAAAGTAGAATTGTTGAGTCATAGAACAAATGTGTTTAACATTCAGAGAAAAGGTGAAATTGCCTTCTCAAATCACCATCTAATCACTGTACTTCCCCTCTATCTGTGTGTAGTTGTATCAGTTGCTCCAAGTCTTTGCCAACATTTTTGCTTATGGGTCTTAAGTTTGATTATATTAAATGGGTGTGAAGTGGTGTCTCATTTCAGCTGCTTCCTTGAGCTTTACTCCCTTCCCGCTACACGCACACACACACACACACACACACACACACACACACACACACACACTTACCACTCTTTCACAATTTCCTCATGTACAGACAAATCTAGTGAGACTCTCTGTCCCGCATTCTCTATGGTCTTGGCCTGAATGACAGTGCACTAACTGGCAGAGTGCATGGGACCCTCCTCCAGTTTGCTGCAGAAGCCCAGGATTTGGGAGATTACAATACCGTCCAGTTAACTAGAGGAACTGGTTCTCCGACTCTGAGCTTGGAGGACCTGGAGACCTTCAACCTCCACACCTCAGCTGTTCCTTCAATCAGGGAATTGAGGATACAAGATTTGCCCAGGCAGGAACTGGGATCACAGAATATGCATCTAATTGAGAGCAGGGGGATAGGACAAGTCCTGATTGTACTATACTAGGGAAATGACCAAAACCCAGCCACGGAACAAGTCTGCTGCCCCCCTTCCAGCATTTTCACCAGGTATCCGTGAGTGTGTCACCCCTTAGGACAGAACTGTGGCCTGTTAGCCTTCAAAAGGCACAGAGTTATTGGGACACACAAAAGTTCCTGGTGTCCCACATACCTCAGTTGATCTTAGTGGTCCCTGTGTTTCCTTCACCATACACCTACCCTGGTGCAGGCTTGCAGAGCAAAGGGCATGTGTGCTCTGGGCCTATCAGCAACTCTCAGGCTCTTATCAGAAATTGAACCAGAAAGACCCAGGCTGTGTGTGCAGCACTTACACTCCCCTAGTGTGGACACATTGACCTCCTCCTGGGTCTCTGCACTCTGATAGTGTAAACTTTCTTGTTCTCTTCCTGAGTCTCCCCAGTCAGATCCACTGAACTCACCTCACCTGTGACCCCTGCTGTGGGTCACCAGACTCTGGGAGGTCACCAGGGTTCTCCAAGCAGGAAGGTCTGCCTGACTCAATCATGGCTACTGTTTGGAGTATTCTTTGTCTGGATTCCTGGGCTCAGAGTCAGAGATAACTGTAAAAGGGTATAGAGAGCTGCGTGGAATCACACCTGATGGAGATGTATAATCAACTCCTATGGCTAAAGTCTGACCTATGCTATGATCACGCAATGATTATCAGCTGCCTGCATATGCGTGGGCCTATGGGCAGTGCCCACCTGGCAATCCGGGATTGGCAGCCCATGCCTACTTAGGGGCTGAGAGAGGTTTGCCCGTGGAAAGAGGTCAGAGAGAGGGAAAGAGAGAGAAGAGAGAGGAGAGAAAGACAAAGAGAAAGGAGAGAGGTCAGAGAGAGGGAAAGAGAGAGGTCAAAGAGAGAGGGAGAGAGAGGAAAAAAGGAGAGAGGAGAGAGGAAGGAAAGAGAGGGGAAGAGAGAGAGAAAGTGAATTAAGTCCTGGAATAAACTCCAGCAAGAAGAGCTCCGGTGGTCGCGTCATTCCTTGCGGGACGAGGGTGAACGCGACAAAAGGAATGGAGTGTGCCTGTCCTCTTCCATTCTGGCCTGTGTCATCCATGAGAACATTACATTGGCAGGGGCTTGCAGACGATGCCCAGGATTACTTAGAAGGGTGTATTAGCTGCATGTTTTGTGATACACCTTTAAACCCAGATCCTGAAAGCTGAGAGAGCAGGCCAGCGTGGACTACATATAATACTCTGTCTCAAAAACCAAAACAAAACAAAATGCAGAAAGAGAAGAAATATGTTCATGTAATTTTATTTACTGGATATGGCTTTTTAGCTTCCAGCCAGAAGGACATTTCAGTGTAGATTATGCAAGATTTTATGGCAAGGTTTTCTTTGAAGATAAAGCACTGTGGGTATAGGCAGGCTCTAATCAGGATCATTTCTGTAGGTTTTGTCTGTTGCAATAACTGTCAGTCATCACAGGCAGGAGCCCTCAGTGAGATGCATGGACAAAGATGCTGTCTGGAAGGCCATTGTGTACAGGCAGCAAGTCACAGGACAGGGTGAGCACTTTTCTGAGAAAGATGTTGGAAGTCACTCTTGGGTGGCTGTGAGTGGCTGCTGCCCTGGCCTCATCCACAAAGGTGGCACCAAAGATGCTGATTCCTGCGGGTCAGATGGGGAGGGCTGCAGCAGAAGATTTGCTTGGCCAATTTGGCAATCAGGTCTGCCAGACTCTGCAGTGTTGAAGTTGTGCTGTGGGAGGGGAGGGGCCAGAGAAGTGGAGCTGCAGAGGTGACACACAGCAGGAGGAGGGTCTCCCTGGACCCCTCCCTGCACTCCCAGGCAGAGAGGATCAGGACTGCTTAAGACTGCACAGCACCCAAAGCAGGACATTTTCTGAGGTAAAGAAGAGTCGACAAACCCAGGGTGTCCAAACACTTATCTTCACTCATGCTTAGAGTTTGTAGTTTGTTAGGTCCTTAGGGGAACGTTCCATTATCCCTCATTTCCTGGTCCCCAGCACAGCAGGCCAGCATTTTGCGTGCAGTCACAGTTGTGCGTCTCTCTCAGCTCTCATGCCAGTGCCGCACAGGCAATGCTGTGTGTGTGTGTGTGTGTGTGTGTGTGTGTTGTTTGAGTCTGCCTGAGATGCTATGAGGTTCATGTTCACAGACTCAGGACATCTGTGAATCTGTTTGACTGTGAGGTGTGTCCTGGAAGTGGGAAGGGAGCATCAGAAGGTCCAGAAATGTCCAGGAAATAACACCCTATTGCTGTCACCCTGAGTACCTGTCCATGTATGGAAGGCTATTTCTAACTTTTACAGATTCCCCAAGGACTCTTTGGTTCCTTGTGACTAATCATTCTCATCAGATCCTGTATTAATAATTTATATTCTGACTTTATTGTTGTCCCTAAACTTTTTTAGGCCCTGTATTAAAAACTTTCTCTTATAATATATTCCATTGTACTAAGGTGATAAATGGTGCTCAATCTGTCTCTGTGTTCACCTAAAACATTTTCTCTGTCATTAAAGGGCTCTATCCCCCATCTTCTAGATCCCTATGCTCACAAGACTCCTGCACATGACAAACCCAGGTCATCCTAGGACACTACCTTTTACATTGCCTTGAAGGCTAGCCATAGGACATCATCAAAATGATGATTTTGTAATGCCAATCTTCAACACCAGGAAGCAGAGTTGAAAACGAGCTTCAGTTGGATTCAGGAGCTGGGCAGAGAGAAAAGCTCTTCACTTGAGTGCACATGGGCTGATGCCTTGGTTAGCCACTAAGGCAGTGGTTCTCAACCTGTGGGTCATGACCACTTTAGGATTTGATTGAGCCTTTCACAGGGGTGGTATGTTAGGATTTCTGTACACTAGATTTTGTTTGGAGATACCCACAACATAAGAAACTGTATTAAAGGGTCATAACATTAAGGAGATTAAGGACCATTTCACTAGGGCTTGAAGGTGTTATTGAACTCATAGTCAACACATGCATACACAAACTCACCTCCCCCCCCCCCACATACCCCACACAGACACAGACAGGCAGACAGACAGAGAGAGAGAGAGAGAGAGAGAGAGAGAGACAGAGAGAGAGACAGAGAGAGAGACAGAGAGAGAGACTGATAAAAAGAGAGAGGGGAAGAGGATGAGGTCACACTCAGAGCACCTGCCCTCTCACTTCTCTCCATCTGAGACATCTTTAGTGTGTTCCTACCCACAGAAGCCCCGCGGCTTCTCCTGTCACAGCTTTCTGCTCCCCTGATCTTCTCTCCCACACCACATTGGGTTGGTGAGTAAAAGGGCCAGGGATCCTGGTGACTTCATATTCAAGGACAGGAATTCTGACATTCCAGGACTTCAGATGCCGTGCCATGTCTATCCAAGAGTCCCGGGAAGGAGCAGAACCTGCAGAAGTGTCATCGCCCTGCCTGCTGGCTATTGATTCCCTATTGACTTCTGCCTTATCCGTTCTCCTGCAATAAGAACTTTGCCCCACTCAACCATTTTCCACACCCACATCCTACAAGGTATAAATTTCTGCCTGGGCAAAGCCTACCTGTTCTGTTTCCTGTTGTTGTGAGACTGTCATCTTGTAGGAGCCCAGACTTCTGCCCGGGATTCAACCATGCTACTCGGTAGACTTCCTGGCTGGCTGTTTGCTGTGGCCTGTGGGCTCCTGCTTCTCCTCCTCCATGTGCATGGTGAGACTGTCTCAGTGAGCAGAGGGACCAGGGTCAGAGCTGCCCAGTTCTGCAGAGTCAGAGTCTGAGCTCGTGGGAGGGAAGGCACCAGGGAGGGAGGAGCTGTGGAGACAACAGATGAAAGTGTGGATTTGCGAGCCCTCTAATGCCCACACCAAAGCCCACACGATGGCACATGGAGGGTCAGAGATGTGTAAGGTTACCATGTACTGAGGAGCCAGCAGGGACAGAATGTGGCTGCGGCTGGAGCTCCTAGAGAACGTGCACGGTGACAAGACTTCCGTCATAATGCCAAGCGTCTCTGAACCTGTCACATTGTCAACTAGAGAAGTGACCTGTCAATTTTCTTTCCTTTTTTTCCCCAATTTTATTGATGTTTTTATTGAGCTCTACATTTTTTTTCTGCTCCTCTTCCTGCCTCTCCCCTCCTCTTCAACCCTCTCCCAAGGTCCCAATGCTCCCAATTTACTCAGGAGATCTTGTCTTTTTCTATTTTCCATGTAGATTAGATCTATGTAAGTCTTTCTTAGTGTCCTCATTGTTGTCTAGGTTCTCTGGGATTGTGATTTGTAGGCTGAATTTCTTTGCTGTATGTTTAAAAACCATTTATGAGAGAGTACATGTGATAATTGTCTTTTTTGGGTCTGGGTTACCTCACTCAAAATGATGTTCTCTAGCTCCATCCATTTGCCTGAAAAATTAAGCTGTCGTTATTTTTCCTGCTGTGTAGTACTCCATTGTGTAGGTACCACATTTTCCTTATCCATTCTTTGGTCAGAGGGCATTTAGGTTGTTTCCAGGTTCTGGCTATGACAAACAAAGCTGCTATGAACATAGTTGAGCACATGTCCTTGAGGCACGACTGAGCATCCTTTGGATATATACCCCAAAGTGGTATTGCTGAGTCTTGAGGAAGGTTGTTTCCTAATTTTCTGAAAAATCTCCATACTGACATCCAAAGGGGCTGTACCAGCTTGCATTCCCACCAGCAATGCAGGAGTGTTCCCTTTACCCCAAACTTCTCCAGCATAAGTGGTCATCAGTTTTGTTTTGTTTGTTTGCTTGTTTTTATATTGGCCATTCTTACAGGTGTAAGATGTAATCTCAGAGTTGTTTTGATTTGCATTTCTCTGATGACTAAGGACGTTGAGCATTTCCTTAAGTGTCTTTCAGCCATTTTAGATTTCTCTGTTGAGAGTTCTCTGTTTAGGTCTGTACTCCATTTTTTATTGGATTATTTGTTCTTTTTTTTAAAAAAAATATTTATTTATTTATTTATTTATTTATTATGTATACAATATTCTGTCTGTGTGTATGCCTGCAGGCCAGAAGAGAGCATCAGATCTCATTTCAGATGGTTGTGAGCCACCACATAGCTGCTGGGAATTGAACTCAGGACCTTTGGAAGAGCAGGCAATGCTCTTAACCGCTGAGCCATTTCTTTAGGCCCCGGATTATTTGTTCTTTTGATGTCAAATTTCTTGAGTTCTTTGTGTATTTTAGAGATCAGACCTCTGTCTGATGTGGGGTTAGTGAAGATCTTTTCTCATTCTGTAGGCTGCCGTTTTGTTTTGTTGACCATGTCCTTTACTTTACAGAAGCTTTTCAGTTTCAGGAGGTCCCATTTATTAATTGTTTTCCTCAGTGTCTGTGCTACTGGGGTTGTATTTAGGAAGTGGTTCCCTGTGCCAATGCCTTCAAGTGTACTTCCCACTTTCTCTTCTATAAGGTTCAATGTGGCTGGCTTTATGTTAAGGTCTTAGATCCATTTGGACTTGAGTTTTGTGCATGGTGATAGATATGGGTCTATTTTCATTCTTCTACATGTGGATATCCAATTATGCCAACAGTACTTGTTAAATATGCTTTCTTTCTTCCATTTGATATTTTTTGCTTCCTTGTCAAAAATCAGGTGTTTGAAGGTGTGTGGAATAATATCTGGGTCTTCGATTCGGTTCCATTGGTCCTCCTGTCTGTTTTTATGCCAATACCAGGCTATTTTCAGTAGTGTAGCTCTGTAGTAGAGTTTGAAGTCAGGGATTGTGATGTCTCCAGAAGTTCTTTTATCGTACAGTGTCCTGTCAATTTTCAAGATGGCCAGTGGACAAGGTTTCCAGCCCTAAGTAATACAAAAAGACTCATCTCTACATCCTGCAGCTGAACTGAGGGGACCCAGGTTACCTTCCCCATGTACCACGGAGACAATGAGGTAGGAATTCCCAAGTGTGGTAACGACTGATGGCTTCTCTTCCCCTACAGGACGGGACTCATCCAGCCCCATCAGGAACACACAAACAGGGCAGGTGAGAGGAAGCCTTGTCCCCGTGAAAGATGGCGAACTTGGTGTCTATGCATTCCGGGGAATTCCCTTTGCCAAGCCACCTGTAGGACAACTGCGCTTTGCTCCCCCGGAGCCCCCTGAGCCATGGAGTGGTGTGAGAGATGCAACCTCTGAGCCAGCCATGTAAGTTCTGGGGCCCAGGGACCCTCAGACATGAGCTCTAGCCACACTGCTTGAGCTCTATAGCAGTGTTCTTCTGTCCTGAGGGCATCTCCCATGCAGTTTTCAGAGGAATGTGCTAAGGATTAGAGAGGAACCGCTGTGCCAGGCTCCTGGGTCAGAGCTTGGCACCTGTAGGGACTTAGCTGCAGGTTCTTCAGTGAGGAGCAGAGACTAAGGCCATTCTTCACGGTCACTGTGACCACTCATTGTCCAGGTGCCATTGGCTAAGGACACATGCTTTCCACTGGAGACAATATGGAAGAAGGAGGTACCGTGAGTGTCTGGAGTGAGATGGAGAATGTCTTACTACCCTGTGGGATTGTCTTTTTCATCCTATGGATCCTCTGTGAGCAGATTCTCCACTACCCGAGTACTTGTTTTCTGTTGTGGTGATAGAGGACCCTGACAAAAGAAGTGAAGAGAAGAAAGATTTTAGCACAGGTCACAATTCCAGGAAATAATCAACCATAGGAGGAAACCACAGGGCAGAAATTTCAGGGAGCTGATGACATCAGATCCATAGTCAGGAGCGCAGCCTATGGGTCACATGCATGCCTGCTAATCCTTCACTTACTCTCTCCATTCTTACACAGTTCAGAGACCCCTTCTCAGGGAATGGTGCCTCCTACAACAGGCAGGCGTTTTTAGCTCAATGAATATAACCAAGATAATTTGCCACAGGCACGTCCCACAGGCAAATGATCTAGAACAGCGGTTCGATTTTTGTGGGTTGCTATCCCCCCAGGGGCTGAATATCAGGTATCCTGCATATTATATATTTACATTATAATTCATACCAGTAGCAAAATTACAGTTAAGGAACAGTGTTTTGGTTGAGGGTCACCACACCAGGAGGAACTGTATTAAAGTGTCACAGCGTTAGGAAAATCGAGAACCACTGGTCTAGACACTCCCTCATTTTGATTATTTTTCCAGGTAATTTCGCACTGTGTAAAGTCAACAATCAAAACTAGCCGCACACCAGGATTAGATAATATAGGAGTGATGAACACCAGTACAGGAAGATGCTCATCCTCATAGAGGAAGCCAGCAGTCTCTGGATACTAGCCTATTCAGGATATTACTACCCAACTGGAGGCCCACCTAAAAGTATTGCTTCATCTTCTTCTCTACAAAGCTGGTGGCCTTTACCTTGGCAAGAAGGGACTTTAAAGAGGGGTCAGATGTTATCACGGCATCATGGAAAGTAGTGTCTGGATGTGGCTGAGAGAAAATTCAGACTATAATTTAGGTTTGACCACCACCTATCTTGGGCTATCTGTCTTCCGTTTTCACCAGGTGTCTGCAGACAAATCCACAGGCCTCAAATGAGAGGAAGATGAGCGTGCCTCCCCTCTCTATGTCTGAGGACTGCCTGTATCTCAACATCTACACACCGGTCCATGCCCATGAAGGTTCTAACTTACCTGTGAGTGTCAGGATATCATCAGCTTGGGGAGAGGATGTTTCTTTCTCTGGAAGATTGGAAGGGCTAAAGTAATTCTGAGATCCCTGTAGTTTAGATCCTTATTAGTAGTCTTACCTTATCGGGGTGAAGGAGGTCATCCCAGACATGGGGAGCTGCTTAAGTCTGGGTGTGTGACTCAGAGCTCTGGGACTCTAGATGTAAGAGGTTCAAAGTCTTTGATTAAACCAGGAATTCTTCTATCAACTTGAACCTGGCAGAACTGCCCTGGAGGGTACTCGAGGTCTTCATTATTGTCAATACGAAAATTTATAGCTGCAGGTTATCTGTTGTGCCAATGAGATATGATGTCCCTTCTGATTAGTAATCAGAAAGAAACACACGTGGAGACATTCCTGTTTGTCCCACTTGATGAGAGAGATGTCATCATTTTAGTTCTCGAGGCATTAATTCATGCTGAAGTTTCCTTATGGTAAATTGGGGATAAAAACATGCTTGTAGGCCTAGAGTACCCCATCGGTGGATCATGTCCTAAAATCCTGAGTAGGAGATCTATGTGTATGTCAACTTGCTGGACCTACAAGAAGACAAAGAAGTTGATAATCCAGTAGGCAGTGCAATTGATCTTGGACTGGGTGTGGTCCTCCTGAGTTCTGTGTTGATGTCTCCAGGTAATGGTATGGATTCATGGTGGTGCACTGGTTGTAGGAATGGCTTCCATGAATGATGGATCCATACTGGCTGCTACTGAGAATATAGTAATGGTCTCGATCCAGTATCGCTTGGGTATCCTCGGCTTCTTCAGGTAAGACTGGGACTGGGCTGGACAGTGGGGTCTGAGTAGAGCATAGACAGACCTGTGATTCCTGTTCCTGCCACTTCACAGCACTGGAGACAAACACGCCACAGGCAACTGGGGCTACCTGGACCAAGTGGCTGCCCTACGCTGGGTCCAGCAGAATATTGCCTACTTCGGAGGCAACCCTGGCTTGGTCACCATTTTTGGCTCTTCAGCAGGAGGCACAAGTGTATCTTCACTTGTTGTGTCCCCCATGTCGAAAGGACTCTTCCACAGAGCCATTATGGAGAGTGGAGTGGCCCTGCTGCCTGACCTTATCTCTGACACACCCGAGGTGGTCTACACAGTGAGTGCCCTCATCAATACCCATCCTTACTTTGCTACCTCAGTCCTTGCCTCTGGGACTCCATTAACCTGCTAAGTGAGGAAAACAAGCATATTGGAAATGCCTTCTTCCCAGTAATTTCAATAATTTCTGAAAGGTATAAAATTTAGAATGCATCCCCTGTGCTGAGGGTGTTATACATGACAGCAAAGCTGTGCCCAGTGGCTTCCACCATTAACAAGATTCTTACACATGGTTTCCCAGTTTGCTTCTTATTGCTGTGATAAAGACCATGACTAAAAGCTACTTTCAAAGAAAAAAGGCTTATTTCAGCTTAGGGTTTATTTATAGATAAACTTGACAGGAAGTCAGAGTGAGGGCACGGGCAGGTCACTGGAGGCCAGGACTGAAGCAGAGGCCAAGGAGGAGCACTGCTTACTGCCTTGTTACCCATGGCTTCTTCAGTTTGCTTTCTTATACAGCCCAGGACTTCTGCCCATTGGTGTCACTTCCCTCCAGCATCAGTCACTTATGTAGCATCTTGAGGTGAGATAGGAAAATGCCCCGACTCACCTTTGAGCCAATCTGATAGAGGCATTTTCTCAGTTGAAGTTCCTTTTTCAAGATTCCCCAGGCTTGTGTCAAGGTGACAAAAAAAATCTAACCAGGACACATGGATTCAGGGAAGGGGCCAACTTGTAAAAATACTTGCTGTGCAAGTGTGAGTCCCCACATTCAAATCCCGAGAGTCCACCTCAGGCTAGAGGTGGTACTATGTGTCAGGAAACCCAGTGCTCCTATGCAGAGATGGAAAAGAGAAACAGATCGATCCCCGGAAGGCCATAGATCAGTTAATATAGTATAGACAAATGCGAATTAGAGGTAAGGTGACAGATGACACTGAGGGTGACCTCTGACCTTCTCACGTGAAATATGTCGCATCATACCCATTGTCACACATGAACACACATAAAAACAAACAACAATAAAGCAAATGTTCAGGCCCCTTTCCCAGCTATCACTTCTGGACAACTGAAAATGTGAACAGCTCCACCTAAGTCCTTTCATACACAGCAATGAGCAGGATGTGGTATTTAGGGGCAATGACATCTACTTGGAACCATGAAAACTCTTGGTTTGGAAGGATGAACCAACCAGTGCCTGTTCCATTTACAGATGGTGGCCAACCTATCTGGATGTGATGCCAAGGACTCAGAGACCATGGTGCACTGCCTACGAGAGAAGACTGAGGCAGAGATTCTGGCTATCAACCAGGTCTGGATAATTGTGTGGTTTGGAGGACTTAGACACCAGCATGTGGGATTGCCAGTCCTTACTAGTTGAACCAGTTAATTTGTCTCAGTGGTTAGCTGTCCTTTTAGTACTGTGTGCAGAAATAACAAGACAGGCTAATTTTAATGTCCAGTTTCTTCTGGAGTGAAAGTATCTTGAGATGAGATAGGAAATGGGGAAATCATGTGGGTATTCAGTGGGCATCAGAATATTTAGGTGGTTGATCTTCAGCACTGACTCTTAGTGCCCCTTAGGTCTTCATTATAATCCCTGGTGTGGTGGATGGGACGTTCTTACCTAGGCACCCTCGGGAGCTGTTGGCCTCTGTGGATTTTTGCCCTGTCCCCAGCATCATTGGTGTTGACAGTGATGATTTTGGCTGGTCAGTCCCCTTGGTAAGACCTGGTTCTAAGCCCCTGGGAGCCTAAACTCAAATGGTGGGTTATGGGAACTCAGAGATACTTTGCTCTAGAGACAAACCATCCTATACTTAAGACTCTCCTCTACTTCCCAGTACATGGGCCTTGATCATGTCATAAAGAACATAACCCGAGAGACCCTGCCAGCTGTTCTGAAGAGCAGAGCGGCACACATGGTGAGAGACCTTGGCTCCTGTCCCGATATAATTATTATTAGCATTATTTATTATTGTTAATGATTATTCTTAGAAAGATCACTAATAACAATTATTGTAATTATTTTGATACACTCTTCTCAGCTACCATGCCCAGAAATAAAGGCAATGCATATGTGTGTTTCTGTGTGGATTCAAGCGTTATATGCTTTCTGCATCCCCTGTCTCATCCCAGGCCACGTTCCTTACTAGGAGGTTGCTCCCTACCTATCCAAGTGCTTGCCCAGTAAGCATATCTCTTCCTGATTCCTCCTGGTGTAGATGCTGCCTCCTGAGTGTAGTGACCTGTTGATGGAAGAGTACATGGGGGACGTTGAGGACCCACAGACCCTGCAAGCACAGTTCACAGAGATGATGGAGGACTTCATGTTTGTGGTCCCTGCACTCCAAGTAGCACATTTTCAGCGTGAGTACATCTGTAACAAGACCAAGGGCAGGGGGAGGTCAGAGCTGTGTCCCAGGTGAGCACTGTAGTGTGGAGACCTGACACATGTCTGGATCACATCTCTGTTACCAGGCATCTTAAGCGACTTACTTCAGTAAATCCTTATGTCTAGTGCAAAAGAGAGACATTTTACCCATGTCTAGAGGAGGAAACACGTTAGTTACACTTGGGGGTCTTGTCCAAACCACTCATCTGTTTACAAAAATGTTTTCCCATCATTAATTATCCATCCTGGGGTCACCACTCAGCTGTGATTCTAGATAACTTTAGAGCAAAGTTTCCTATCACCAAGGATTAGGTGGGAAAGCTCCACTGAGAAAACTTTTAAGTCCACATGTGTCCTCACTCCCAGGATCCCATGCTCCTGTCTACTTCTATGAGTTCCAGCACCAGCCCAGCTTCAACAAGTATAAGCACATCCGGCCACCCCATGTGAGGGCTGACCATGGCGATCACGCTGCCTTTGTCTTTGGCTGTGCCCTCTGGGGAATGAAAGGTGAGTTTTTCTTGAGCTGAATGGTGTCCTTGGTGTGTTCCTGAGGGATTACTGAGCTCTCAGTCCAGTCGGGGAAACTGAGGCTCTGGGAGAGAATGGGGTCAAGCGATAACCATTTCTGAGGTACAACAAAACAAAACAAAACAAACCACTACCAGGATTAGAATATGAACCTTTCCTAGTCCAGCTTGTGCTGGAAGGAATGGGAGAACATTGGGGTCAGAGTGAACCAGAGTAGAGACTTGGATGGATGCTGGGTTCTGAGTGGTGAGGGAAGAGAGTATATACCAGGCCTAGGGTTCAGAGTTAAGCTGCGGTTGATATAGTAGAGCATGAGTTGGCACCTGCATGAGGTAGCTACAACTTGGACCCTCATCTCCTGTCTGCAGTTGACTTCACTGAGGAGGAGAAGCTGTTGAACAGGAGGATGATGAAGTACTGGGCAAACTTTGCAAGACATGGGTGAGAACATGCCCCTCCCTCAACCTCCTATACAAGACCATCCAGGGCTCCCAGGTGTGTGTACCTCATTAGCATACATGGGTCTTTATTCACACTCTAGTCTTCTCCATCCCAGGGCACACTTAGGCACACACCTTCTAGCTTTCACTTACTGCTCATCCCACAGAGTCCTGGTGGGTGAGTCACAGTATTGTGGTACTGTTCTTTAGATTTCTTCCTCTGAGAGGGAGACACAAAACTAGACAGCTTCCCTGGTTTCATATCAGACACTGGAGGGTGACCCTTATATTCTATATCAGCACACCAGTCCATCTGTCCCCTTAGGCCCTTGGCCTACCCATCTACTGCTCTGACCCCAATCAAGGCGTCAGGTCTTGGATCAGAGTGACCTCACCCTTCCCTGCTGGTATCATATCCACAGGAACCCCAACAGTGAGGGTCTCCCCTACTGGCCTGAGTTGATCCACGATGAGCAGTACCTGAAGCTGGACATCCAGCCTGCTGTGGGTCGAGCACTGAAGACCAGGAAGCTGCAGTTCTGGACAAAGACTCTGCCTCAGAAGATCCAGGAGCTAAAGGGGGCTCCGGGCAAGCATAAAGAGCTTTAGTGCCAGTTACATGAAAGGTGTGTGGTGTTGAGGATGGATGAGGTCATTCCGAGGTTACAAAGTCCATTTATTTATTTTTATTCATTCCAAACTCACATAAGCCTTTCTAACCTCAGCATTTCCCTTTCACTGTGTATGACAAACCCTCTGTGTGTTACTCCTTATCTTTATGGACACATTTTATTAGAATCGATAAATGGTCCCACAACCATATGGATGTGTGTTCCCCTCATCTTCTTTAACACTTCGCTCTTTTAGACTCTCTCCTTCCTTCCTTCCTCTCATCTTCTCTCTCCTCATCTCCAAGCCTCAGACCCTCTTCAAATGAAGCAGAAACCTCAGGCACTGTTGACGTTAGGAAATCCCTTGTCCCCTCTCAGCTAGTTCATGTTTTCTCGTACTTCTAATTTGCCAATAGCAAATCTGATTTCCCAAAGTTCATTAACTTCATAGGTGCAGAATGTTGCTCCCAAAAGTTAATAAACTACAAAGTGGGCTCTTAGTGTCTGTGACCTCAGATGTTTGGAGACTGAGAACGAAGGGTTGCATAAGCCCAGGGCAAGATAACAAGATCCACATCTCAGAAACAAAACAAAATACATAACCTCAGTAACTTACAACCAGTAACAAATGTACAGTTTATAGTTTTGGAAATCCAGGGTCAGATGCCCATAGATCTGCTGTGTGGTGAGAAACAGTCTCTGGCTAGAGGTTTTCAGGATTTTATCTTGTGCCCTCTGCTGGAAGAATGTGTAAACAATGGCTTTCCTAGGACAACATTAAGTCCCTGCTGACTTGAACTGGGGACAGGGAAGACTGTCCTCTTAGTGAGACTGACCGTGCAGGTTGTTTCCATTCTATTTGTAGAGCATTCATTGACGTTCCTACTACGAGCTTGCCCCCGCTTTTCAGTTCTGCACATACATAGTAAACTTCTAACAGGGAGCCAAAATCTCTTCTAGACTTTTACTAATTATCTTACTTTCAGTGGCTTGAGCGTGGGTTGTTTTTATGAGGCTTGGGAATTGATCTTAGGGACTGTACATGTTAGGAAGCGCTCCACCCCTGAAGTACAGCATTGGATTTTTCAATTTTATGTGTATGGTTAGGAAATCTGAGAAAATTCTCAAGGCACTCAACTTCCACCACATTAGATTAAGAACAGCCCCTTTTCCATCCAAGGCTTTCCTCAGGCCATGTGGTATCATTCCATACCCTTAGCCTGGATTCAACATAACCCTCACATTACATACCTTTAGCCTGGGTTCAACATAATTCTCACATTATTTTATCTTGTTATATCGGGGGCTTGTCTAGAATCTAATATAAACAGAATGTTTTGTGATTGTCTCTGTCACTTAACATAAGGTTTTTGGTTCCTTTCATTGTGGAATGCCACACTACACATTCTATCCACGTATCCAATCTATGTACAGCTGTACCACTTGCTTCTTTGTTCTTCTTTGTTGGGACAAGGTCTCTATGTAGTCCAGGTTGACCCTGAACTCATGATCTCACTGCTTTGGCTTCATGAGTGGCTGAATTGTAGGTGTGGTCCTCCAATTCCGGGTTTGGATTTTAATAAAGCTATATTCTTACACATGATTGCATGTGATCACATGTATTTTTTTGATTTACAACCTAGAGCATAATTGATAAGTAATGAGACACATGTGTTAAACAACTAAAGAAGTTGTAAGAGGTATGTCAGTGGTAGAGAGCTTGCCCTGTATGTACAAAGTTATGGGTGTGTTGCCCAGCAACATAGAAAGTATAATAAAGCCAGATCAGATGACATGGGCTTGTAATCTTAGGTACTTAGAGGACTGAGGCAGGTATCACAAGTTGAGCCCTACCTGAGATATGGAGCAAGGTCCAGGCAAGGAAGGGAAATTTAGTTATGGTCTGTCTCCACATAGGAAGTACAAAATATGTAAAAACTCTAATTTGAATTAGTGGGTTATTAAATAGAGGGGAGGGGAGGAGGAGGAAAAGAAGGAGGAGAAATAAAAAAGAGGGAGAAGAAAAGAACAGAAATAATGAAATTGGAAGGAGAATATGGTAGGGTCTGGGAGTCTTGGGAATGATGGGGGTAAGAATATTTATGACACATTGTACTCATATATGAAATTGAAAAAGAATAAAAAAGTCTCCTGGTACTGGGAAAACAGTTCAGAGATAGACCACTTGTCTGACGTGTGTAAGATCCTAGATACAATTCTCTGGGCTCTCTTTAGAAGCTTTGAGGTAATTGTCTACATGAGCTGATTGGATGTCAAATTTCCATGTCTGTAGTGCCTGCACTATGGGACAGTATGCAAACTGGGAACTAAGCTGGAGACTTAAAAACACACGCACGCACAGACAGAGACATGGGGTCATCCTTCATACAAGAATCCCAACTTTATTATACTCAGGAGAAGCTTATATAGGGATCCTTAACTGATAGTTATGCCCCAGCTCTTGGGATCTTTCAGCGGCAGGCCTCACCAGAACCCACTCCCCTGCCATCAGGGTCTCATGCTCAGAGCAGCTGCAGGCACAGGTAAACACTTTGTTTTGCTCAGTTCACTCTAGGGTCTGAGGCAGGTAGAGAAAGTCAAGGGGCCAGGGGTCTGCAGCCCCCAACCATGTCCTACCAATCACCAAGTTTCTCATATCTCCAAATGACCTATAACACTTCTAATGAGCCTCAACCCTGTCCTCATCAGTTCCAGCTGCTAGCTAACTCAGTCCTGAGATAGATTGTCTGTGGCTTGGTTCCTTGGAAGACTACAGCAGGCGGGTTTGGTGAGCTCAGGCACTAAAGGGCTACCCATTCTATATACATACACTGTATCTCAATAATATATATATGCTATATACATATATATATGCTATATACATGTGTAAACTTGCATATATTACAACATATATGGCTTATAAAGAGTAGAGACATGTTTATACATTGTTGTGCTTTATCAGATAATTATCAGACTGGAATGCTTTTGAGGAAAGTGTTTCTGCAAGACCTCTGGCCTCACTGGTTGTTTGTGCCACATTCTACTCTGCTGCTTATCCGGGTTCCTTATGGGTCCATCAGAAGGATTTGGTGTTTCTGATCATCACCTCTGAGCAACAGGCATGTGTTAACAATTTCTTACTTACTCAGGTCCACAGACAGCACACAACAGGATATGCTATGGTATTTAGTTGGGATTGGGAACTCTACTAACTGCCTTGAAGGATGAGACAGCTCCTGACTGGTCCCTTTACAGATGTTGGCCAACCTATCTGGATGTAAACCTGTGAATTCAGAGGCCTTAATGTACTGCCTATGAGACAAACATGAAGAGGAGATTCTGGCTATTAACAACATGGGAAGAATTATGTGGCTTAGAGGATGGGAGACAGGGAAGTATGGGACAACCAGTTCATACTATTCTAAACAAATTAGTCTACCATTACACCTTGGTGCCTTTTCAGTTCTGGGGGCAAAACAAACAGCAAGATAGGCTAGTCTAGGTGTAAGATCTAGTCTAGGGTGGTGGATAAGTAACCTGAGATAAATTTAGGATATTTGGGCAAAGGTATGTGTAATTCAGAAGGTAAAGGAATATCTATGGGATTGACTTTCAGCATTGACTGACCTTTAATAACCCTCAGGTCTTCAGGACCATCTCTAGTGTGATAGATGGAGAGTTCTTGCCCAGACACCCCTTAGAGTTGTTGGTCTTTGTGGATTTTCACCCTGTCCTCAGCATCTTTTGTGTCAATAGTGATGAGTATGGTTGTATCATTCCCATGATGAAGCACACTTCCAATCTCTGGGAAGACGGGGGCTCATATGCATGTGGTAGGAAATCACATTTGTAGAATCAGGTCCATCCCATCCTACACTTAAGATTGAGTTCCATAGTCCACTTCAACTCTAATCCCACCACGAAGTAAGTATACATAGAGACTATAAAGACTGTTCTGAAGCGTACAGCAGTACAGATGGGGAGGTTTTATGGGTCCTACCCCAATAAAGTGGTGGGTGGGGCAGCTTTCCCTCACTTAGGTCACTGCATGGGACACACGGGGTGTGAGTTCTCCTACTTTCACGCCCTCAGGGCAAAGAGTTACCTGTGCTCCACCAGCAGTGCCAGCCCAGGTGTGGTTCAGGGTGTGTCCTCCCTAGGGCTGTACCTGGTGAGGGACAGGGCCAGATCTCTCACTCCCAAGACCTCAGGGCCAGTTCTTCCACCGACCAAAGGTGGCAAGCAGCAGAGGAGGAGATAGGGCATCTCTCCCTTGCCAACTCGACTTCTGGCAGATGAGGGGTTGAGCAATCACGTCTTACACATGTATTATCAGGGCTGGCTGGATCATCTGTGCTCCCATCAACAGGATCAGCCCTACTGTGCTGCCCAGGTGAGGTTCAGGGATTGGACCACTTTTGTGAGAAGCAGGACTGGGCATGTTCATAGGCTCATCAGATTGAGTCTGTAATTAGGGATGGTGGCCAACATGTCTGGGTGTGTTTCTCAGTGGTCCACCTTCTGAAGTTTGCTTTTGTTTCCAGGGTTTTGGCAGACACTGAAGTCTACACTTGCTTAGGTATATCACATTTGTGAAAGATGCTTGGTTGTCATGGAACAAGATGAGGAAGATAAGAGGTCCAAGCATCTATACCACACACACACACACACACACACACACACACACACACACACACACACAGACAGACACACACACACACACTCAGCTATAGCAGGAAAAAAAAGCTGTGGCTGTTTTATCTTTCTTCTTTTTTTTTAAAGGAAGAAATACTTATGCTTTATTTCCTACAAGGATATACATTCAGAACATTCATTTAATAAATGAACCCAAACCTCTCTGTGTAGAAAAGAAAGATGTCTGGAAACAGAGGGAGGTAAATTACAGACTTTTGTTTCTTTGCAGTATATGTGTGTATCTCAAATATGTAGAGTAGAGTTTTGGCTAACTGGAAGAGGAAAAAGTACAAGCACCATAAACCTAGTAACAAAAATGTTATAAACTTTTATTTTATTTATTTATTAAAGATTTCTGCCTCCTCCCCTCCGGGATCTGGGCTGTGCTGCCAGCGTGACCTCTGGTTCTTTCAGGAGGCCGAGTATTGGATGGGTTTTGTAAGCAGACTGCTATTGCTTGCTTAGTGGTAGCATGGACCTGCTGTGTGCCTAGAGATGGGGCACTGTGCATGTCTCTCAGAGGAGGTGAGCAGCTCTGCCATGCTGGACTGTGCGGAGTGAACAGACAGTACTGTATATACATGATAATGGAGAAGCTTAAGTTTTAGACTGGGTGGGCTAGCAGTAACTTCCATATTTCCCCTAATAACGGTGCAGCTTAAGTTTTAAAAAGCGCTCGTGGACAGTAAAGAATTACAGATATGCAATAAAGACAAATCTAGATGAGTCATAGTGTTGGATAAATGTATGTAGTCTTGAAAGAGAAAAAAAAAGGAGTATAGAGAGCCATAAAATAAAGGCAATGCTATTTAAAAAAGGGTAAAGTCTTTAAAGAAACAGAGTACAGATAGTCATAGATTAAAAGAAGTAAAAAAAAAATAAGCTATGTAAAGATGGAATATACTCAGAGAGCTTGGAATATGTATATTATTGTGTTATCTTTGAATCTTTTGACTGTGAATAAGCTAAGTACAGAAAGACATTTCATTGTTTGGGTTGCTAAGCTAAACCAGATGTATATTATGAAGGTATTATGACTTCCAAATTTGGGTCTAAGGATATGTTACTTTGGAAAAGAGGTTCTTCTCTTATTTTCTCAGGGATGGGAACCTTTGGGATTGCTTCTAGACTGGTGTGATTTGATGGAACAAGATCCCCTGAAGGGTTGTCTTGAACACCCCTCAAAGAATGACTTCACCCAATAAACAGAAGAAGAAGTTTGGAGAAAAGCTATGCTCATATTCCCAAATATTGCTTGTAAATGTTTCTTTACATTTAAAGAGGGATATGCTATAGAGATTTGCATTGGCATGAATCTTGGTTTATTGATGCAAATATAAGGTCAATCTTGTTATATGTATATTTCTGCTCTTGATTAAGGTATTGTGATTGTGTCATTCATTTAAAAATGTAATATATAATTAAAATATAGATCAATAGATAATCATCTATAATAGTGAAGCTTCTAGTCATGTTAGTTAGGTTTTCTAGATATATAGAGATAGATTTCAATTAGATAACTATTCTTCAAATCTTTCAGAGACCTTCAGAATATGGCATTTAAATGTTTTAATAACTTAGAACTTTTCATGACAACGAGACACATCTACTCCTGGCAGTACCAATTACTTCAAGAGGAAGATAGGCATTGAAGAGGCTCCTGATGGAGTCGCTTAGCCATTTGGGCAAGAAACTGCTCTTGCCTGGACTACTTGACTAGATATGCAGGACCACAGAGAAATGACTGCTGAACTTGCCTAAAGGTGAGACGGTCCTTTTGGGTTCCTGCTTCATAAAAGTCTCCACTGACACTCTGCAGCATATAAAAAAAGTGACTGGCAAACTGCCAATATAGGTGGAACTGTCTTTGAAATTTCCTGCTTCATGGAAAAGTCTGCTGGATACTAT